TTTCCAGGCAAATTATCAGAATTTTCGATTTTTTTAGCTTGGCCAGCAATTCTCGATATTTACAGTCACGGCCTCTTATCTCCTTCTCTCACTTTTCAGCTAAGCAGTGGAATGCACTGCCGGACCTTTTTCGTTATCTCATTCTTTATGACTGTGCAGGTCATATGGAAGGTACATTCCTGTATAGGAACGCACATTTTAATTATAAACAATTATTGGATGAGGTTTTTGTGATTATTCCGGATATCACAAAAACCTCATCCAATAATTGTTTTATTGTACATTGTCTTAAAGAAAATAACGCCAAACGGATTATCGCCGGAACACAGTTTATTTTCGAACACTTAGAAACGTACAACTCAACGTGTGGTGAACAAATTTTCACCGTCTTTTGAGCTAATTCCTTTTTGTCGTGTGGCTCCTGGATATTTTTCTTTTTAAGGTATTCGCAGAACAGTTCCTTCGCCACTTTTGTCGATCTTTTAGTATTTTCCGAATCTTCAGCTTCAAGTAATTTCTCAATTTCTCAAAAAAAAAAGAGAAAAGTAATTTCTCATCTTCTCGCTGGGTCGATGAAGCGAATCGAGAAGCCATTCTTACTTCGCTGTCCGTGAGCTTGACATTGCTCCATCGGAAATCATGCATTGCGCGCACAACCTATAGATTATTCACTAATCTGTAGGTGCAGATTAGTCAATAATCTGTAGGTTGCGCTGTTTCCCAGAATTAACTGTGTGCATTTAGCCAATGAGAAGACAGATGGTGAGTTCAATGAATAATAATCTCAGTAAACTGTCAGAATATCAAACCAGGATGTACTTACTAAGTGCTCAAGTTTCCCAGTTAGTCACCATGAGAAAACATCAAATGTTACATACATACTCAAATAATTAACTGAATCAAAAGCTTTTCTAGCCTGCTTCCTTTGATTGTGCTCCAGAAACAGTAATTGATGTTGAAGAGAAAGGAATAACGTCGTATGAAGGTGTTCCTTGCGGTAATAACCCTAATTATCTAGTGGGTGGAAATAAGGCCCGAAAAAATAATTCAGGCCAGTACGGGATTTGAACCCATGCTATACTGGTGCAGTGCTCTACCAACTGAGCTAACAACCAACTGGGTGCTGGTCGAAGTCATATAAATCAATGAATTTTGAATATATGAAAATCATATATATGTACTGGAGTTTCATGAAATACGAACCAACAGTAATGACTGGCTCCCAGTTGGCTTGATACCTCAGTTAGTAGAGCACTGCAATGGTGTCACAGAGGTCATGGGCTCAAATCCAGTATGGGCATATTTCCACCTATTAGATAAGTACGGTTATTACTGCGAGGAACACTTTCATACATTTCATGAAACCACAGATATTCAAAATTCGGGACTAAAGCTTGTAATGGACGGCAAGTGGCTTTGAATACAGGCGAGTGCTCCACTCGAATGCTCCTTTAATTCATGCTCTTACTACTATATATCTACACTCGCTCTCCTAGCTCGCCTCGTGCGTTAACATACGGGCCCTAGCGTATGACTGTATTAGGTAACGACACTACATCTCTCCCCTCTTTGAAGCAAAAACCCGCCTAGCATGACACGCGACTTGAAAGGAAACAAAACAAAGTGAAACGACTTTCTAGCTGTTTCAAAGTCCTTAAGGTCTAACAGGATTGCAGAAGTGCTCAATGTTTCTAAAGCTTAAAGGAGTCCAAACACAACTGTAAACAAAGTCTTCAACAGTTCACGTGCTGTCCGCTTTCAGCCAGAAACATAGTCGTCCAATTTGACTGGGCACGTTTGCACACGCAGCGGATAGCGTCTCGACGGTGGGACATCAGACTGCATCGGTGCATCTGCGGCTTCAGGTGTAACATCAGGTGTAACGTCAACAGGATCCTTGCCGGTCTCTGTAGTAGCGTTTTCTTCTGCTGCCACAGGGACATTCTTGAAGAACGAAGAGTTCCTTGTCACCTGAACGCCATCGTCATCTTGTGCAGTCATCTTGTGCAGTCACCATGGATCCCTTCTTCCCTACGACGATGTGCGGCCTGGGGTCATACGGCGTGTCACTTTTCTTCTTAGAGTCGTCTCTCTTGACAAGCACCGTGTCGCCTTCTTTGACGGTTGACGGCTTTACATAACGCTTGTTGTCTGCGTGCTTCTTAATCTTAGCCTTCGCTGACCCATCACGTTCTCGGATCTCCAGGTCTGAGCGGGGTGTTGTCAACTCGGGAAGTTTCGTCTTCATCGGTCTTCCAAATAGTGCTGTTGCTGGAGCCACTCTCGTTGTAGTGTGTGGTGTGGCGCGGTAGTTTCTTAGTAGCCTGTTTAGCTCCTGTTTGGGGTTCTTACATTCTAACTTCGCTGTCTTGATGACTTTCTTTACGGTGCGCACAAATCGTTCGACTTCTCCATTTGCTCTGGCCCATTTTGGAGTGACTTTCGATGCTTGAAGCCAAGGTCGTCTGCAAATGACGCGAATTCCTTGCTGTTGAACGGGGGACCGTTGTCGGACTTGACTACGTCTGGAACTCCAAATTCCGAGAACACTTTGTCTAGCATAGGTATTACCATTGCTGCTGAGGTCGATTTTACTATCTCTACCACTGGGTATCTGGAGTAGTCGTCCGTAATCATAAGTAGGTACTCTTGATTCGGAAGGTTAGCAAATTCCACACTGAGTTCTATTCACGGAGCTGCTGGGAGTGGTGACAGCTGTAGGGGTTCTCTCTTGCATTCAGGAGTAGTGATCAGGCATGCGCTGCATGACCTCACCTTGCTTTCCACCAGTTTGTCGATGTTCGGGAGCTAGACTTTGTCGCGCAATAGACTTGGTTTTTACGAGCCCTTGATGGCCTTCATGCACTAGGTTAACCACGTGTTCCTGTAAACTCTTTGGGATAACTATGCAGGTTCCACGCAGGATGAGGTTGCCTGATGCACTTACCGCTAGCTCGTCCTTCACTCTTTCTAGGAGTCGAAACTCGGTAGGGTTGACACCAGGGCGTTTGACTACAAGGTACCAATTGCTTTTCACGATAGCCTCGGCTATGCCTTGAAGGGTGGCATCGGCTTGAGTAGCTGCTTCAATGTCTTGTGTCTTCGGAGCTTTGGGAGTCGAAGTAGTCGCTAGGTAATTGATGTACTCCTCTGCTATCTTCTGCTGATGGGTCGTTTGGGCTGCATTCTTTGCTAGGTGCCGTGACAAGTAGTCTGCCGGGTTTGTTTCACCTCTACTATACTTAACTGTGATCTGATATGGCTGAAGTCTTAGTGCCCATCTTTCAATTCGTGCGGGAGGCTTAGAACTTGGATTGCCATAGATGGTCACCAGGGGTTTGTGGTCTGTGTAGACTGTAATAGGCTTCCCATAGACATACAAGTGTAAGTGCTCGCAAGCCCAAACCAAGGCGAGGGCCTCCCGTTCTGTTTGGCTGTACCGCTGTTCGGTTACTGTAAGGGAACGACTTGCATTGGTGATCACATGTCTTTCTTCGGTCTTCTGGTCGAGTTCTGAGAGTATGGCAGCTAAGCCCACTGGACTGGCATCAACCGAGATTTCTGTTTCCTTTTCCGGATCGAAATAGGCAGTGACGGGTGCGCTGGATAGTGCTTCTCTCAGCTGGTTAACTGCTCGGTCGTACTCTGTTGTCCAACACCACGGTTGGTCCTTGTGGGTGAGCTTGCGTAGGGGCTCAGTTTTAGTGGCGTAATCTGGGATGAATCTTGAACAATAATTTGTCATCCCAGCAGGCTGCGAACCTCTGATGCTGTGGATGGTGTCGAAAGACTGACCACTTCTTCAACTTTCTTCGGGTCTGGTGCTATGCCATCTTTAGAGAACATGTACCCAAAGAATTCCAACTTGTCTTTGCTGTACTCACACTTGCTTTTGTTGAGGGTCAGGCCTTTCTCTCTTAAACGCTGGAAGACAGCCCTTAGGTTCTTATCATGTTCTTCGTGTGACTTGGCAAAGACCAGGATGTCGTCACTGACGTTTTTCGCGCCATCAATGTCTTCCAGAGTCTCTCGGATCACATTTTGGAAGATTTCAGCTGCACTTGATATTCCAAAGTTGAGACGTTTGTAGCGCATTAAGCCCATGTGGGTACCAAAGGTGGTGATGTATCGGGACTCCGGTGCCAATTCGAGGTGGTTGTAACCCTGGTTAAGATCTAGTTTGGTAAAGACCTTAGCTCCGTTCAAGTCTCCAATCATCTCTTTGATAGTGGGTGTGACGTGACGCTCACGTCTTATCACCTTGTTCGCCTGGCGCATATCCACGCACACGCGTACCTTGCCTGGAGATTTTGGCTTCGGAGCAACCACTATAGGAGACACCCAGGATGTGGGGTCTTCGATAAGTTCAATCACACCTAACTCCTCATCGCGTTGTAGCTGCTCTTCTAACTGCTTACGCACATGGAAGGGGACTCTTCTGTGCGGTTGTGCAACAGGTGGTACGTTTTCGTCGACGTGCAGCTTTATCTGATAGTTCTTGAGCTTGCCTAGTCCATGGAACAGGTCATCGTATTCCTCAATCAGATTTTCTGGTGTATTTGTTCCCGCTTTTGACGGTTGGCCTCCGATTTGCTGAACAGTTTGAAGTAGGTTAAGCCTTTGTGAAGCCCTCCAGCTTAGCAGGGAGCCACCAGATCCCTTTATAACATATAACCTGTCACTAAGCTTCTTTGTTTCTGACTTGAGTGCGGTGGTGAATTTTCCAAGGACACGAAGGGGGGCCTTTGATTGGTAGCCATATATCTTTACGCTGCTTGGCTCCAGGTTAGGGCGGTTGGGTAGCCTGCGATACTCCTTCTCATCCAGAATGTTAATACTTTCTCCAGAGTCTGCCATCATTGTCACAGGTGTGCCACACACTTTAATCTTAAGGAAGGGTTGATCTTTCAATGCCTTTGTGCCTAGAGAGGTGTATACTTCCTCTTCGTCGCTCGACTCTTCTTCACCAACTTTGTGTAAGGTGGAACGGCGTGTGTTCCTTAATTCACCTTTGTCCTTGGATTGGCATACGGCCTCAAAGTGGTTCCACAGCTTCGGCAGGTGGCCTGATAGGCAGGGCAGGATGTTTTTCCTCCACGATGGGGGTAATTACCACCACAATTGCGGCATTTTGGGCCTGATTTCCGGTATTCATGACCACTGTTGCGTGATTTCCGGTCACGTGGTTTCTTCTCAGTTTGACATCCGCCATCTTTGTTTGATTTCCGATCCCTTCGTCTTAGATTCCCATGATGTGAAGACAAATTGTTGACCGATTGATTCTCCTCAATGTTAGCGGCTTGTGTTTTGGAAAGTTCCATGGCCCTTCCAGCATCCAGCAGTTGTGTCAGGGTGTACGCTGGATTCTCGAGTGCTTTCGTACGCAGCTTGTGAGAACTGCAGCTTTGAACTATTTGGGTTTTGATCTCACGATCTACATCATCAAATTCACAAGTAGCGGCCAACTGTCTCAGCCTGGTGTGAAATGCTGAGATGGTTTCATTCCTTTCTTGCTTGGCTTGACGAAAAACGTAAATTTCGTACTCACGGTTTTGTTTGGGAGTGAAATAAATCGTCAAGGCTTGCACGGCTTTTTCAAGCGGATCATCATCTTCTCCCACTGTCGTGTTGGGGAGCGTGTCAAAAATCTCGTTCGTCGCTGTGCCGGCATAGTGGAGTACAAGAGCTCTTTGACTTCGCTTATTCGTCACGTTCATTGCGACCAGTAGGTTGCGGAATCTCGAGAGCCATTTCTTCCATCGTGTAGCTTGTGTGCTCGTTTCAGAGACATCAAACTCGGGAAATGCGGGTAGCGCTGTGGCCATGTCTCTCACGCGTCTTTGGTATGAAGATCGTCTAGAATCATACGCTGTGTTGGGCTCTGAATCCTCGTCGCCAATGTAATGGAGGGCAAGTGGCTTTGAATACAGGCGAGTGCTCCACTCGAACGCTCCTTTAATTCATGCTCTCACAACTATATATCTGCATTCGCTCTCCTAGCTCGCCTCGTGCGTTAACATCCGGGCCCTAGCGTATGACCGTATTAGGTAACGACACTACAAAGTTATCAAAACATTCTATTTTATGAGAAAAACATTTTGTGAAGCCATAATTACAATTTCCTTTCCATGTAAGAAAACCATATCTAAACGTAAGATATGAACAAATTTCATCTCCTCAAGTTTAAATGTAGAATCCAAGATCTAATAAACTTGCTTTTCAATGGGAAGAACCTGACTGTGTTTCCCCTTCCACTATCGTTCTAGAAAAATCGAGTTTCCAGATGGGATTTGAACCCATGACCCTCCGTGATCTAGTCGGATGCTCTAACCACTGAGCAACAGGAGACTCTATGGTGAGCAAGGGTTAATTAGTGGGTATTGACTGGAACCGCATCACGCGGCTACACAGCCAAACATCAGCTAGCGCATATAAGCTCACTAACAGCATCACACTGTCACATTAAAGCATCACATGCATTAAAACATCACATGCAGCCAACCAGCCCCCAAAGTGAGCAGGGAAAGATGAAATAAACGACGCTGGTCGTAGGTCGCGGGTAAACTGTCGCTGTCGCGGTCCAGGAAGATCTATTTTCATAAATGCAACGCTTCTCCCCACAAACGGCTGCTTTGATGCAAACCACATTCCTTGTGCAAATACACTTATTCACTAGCACTATCCCAACTAACTCTAAATTATTCGCTCTTGGAAGCTCCCTGGCTCTGAAATCTTCGTCGATTTCTCGATGAACATAATGAAATTGTTTTAAAACTCGTTTGTTAAGGTTTGTATGCCTTTTGCTAAGCTGCCGTCAGCGGGCTTCTAGAAATGAAAATAGTTCTTAAGTTCAGTTCATACCTGCTCTAAGTTCATTTGTGCTATTCGGTTTGACGTTCATGGCCGGCAAAAAAAATCACACTGGCACAATTTTTCCAAAAATATAGGCTCTATCATATAATCAATCAAGCTACGCAAACGGAAATCTAAACGGAAACCACAGGATCTTGTACCGCATTCATTGGAAACCCCAGCGATTTTGGCGCTGACACTGGCGTCATTGTTGATTTACACCTACCTGATTGGTAGGCATGCGGTTCGGATCAAAACGGCCGTTTCTGAAGAGGAGACTTATAATAAAAAATAATAATCATCTTTATTGAGGAAACTTTTTCATAACAGATATGGTTTTCAAAAAGGACCTCGAAACTAGATATATATAGTAGAAACAAAAAAGCAATAAAATTGCAAAGGGATTAAAAGGCTACAAAAAATGCATAAAAATTAAAAATGAAAAATATATTAAAAATAAGTATAAATAAAAATTAAACGTAAGTAGCTATATTAAAAACTTAAAAACATTACGTCTAAAACTATTGACATTCTTTGAGTCTTTGATCGTCAGACTGAGGGAGTTAAAATCGGAAACGGCATGATATTGTGATCTTTGCTTCCCCCAATTTCTTTTGACACGTGGTAATCTAAAATTGCCTTTGTTACGTGTATCATGCCTATGAAGTACGTCTTGTCTAATCAAGTCCATATTGTGATTAATTAGGCCATTGATACATTTGTATACGTGTACACACCTTCTTTGAAATCGCCTTTTCTCTAGAGGCAGCCACTTGAGAACAGCTAATGCCTCAGTGGAGGATGAGTACAATGGTCTATTTAAAATAACTTTAGCGGCCTTATTTTGCAAAACTTGCAAACTAGACATAAGGGTAATATTATGTTTATCGCCCCATACTAGATCAGCATATTCAAAAAGGAGCATAACAAGACCTTTTATAGAAAAGTAAACGCGCCCTGAAAGGCAAAAAATGCTTTATACGCTTGAGAAGTCCAAGCCTCTGATTGATTTTCCCAGTTAGGTGTTCAATATGATCAGTCCATGTGAAATCCGAGGATATATGTATACCGAGGTATTTAAAGCTGCGAACATTACTTATACTATGATCTAAAACTGAAACAGACAAATCTACTTTGCTTTCGCGTTTCCTATTACTACCGATAAGCATGTATTTAGTTTCGTCCAAATTTAAAGTCAGTTTGTGATCATGAAGCCATTTCGCCACACCTAGTAGATCGTTAATTAACTTATCACTCAACTCCTTTGAGGATGTACCATAGCAATAAATCACAGTATCGTCTGCATAAAGTGACGCGTAGCAGGAGTTAAGCACATTTGGCAAGTTATTTATGTAATTCACAAACAATAAAGGCCCTAAAATGCTACCCTGTGGCACCCCATGCGTGACTGGAAGTTCCTCAGATAACTCATTTCCACATGAGGTGCGCTGTTGTCTGCCAGTTAAGAAAGAACGGAACCAGTGAAGAGCTGTTTCAGAAAGGCCGATCTCGGATAGCTTGCATAACATTATTTGATGGTCTACAATGTCAAATGCCTTTGTTAGATTGATGAACACAGCCCCGCAAAGCTTTCCTTGTTCCATGTTTAAGAGCACCTCATCGGCAAATGAGGTCAAAGCTGTTGTAGTTGAGAGACCCTTCAGGAAACCAAACTGCTTGTTGGACAATAAATTATTGGTAATCAAGTACTGATACAGCTGCAAGTGTACCGCTCTCTCCAAAATCTTACTTAGTGTAGGGAGCATTGAGATGGGGCGGTAGTTGGAAACGTTAGTCCTGTCACCTAAGTTAAACAATGCCGTGATTTTTGCGCATTTCCACAACTTGGGAAATTGACTAGTGTGAATTGAAAGATTCAAAAGTTTAACAACAGATGGTGCAATAGTGTGAGCTGAGATTTTAAGAAGTCTCGCGCTAATTTTGTCAAGACCAATCGCTTTGTTTGCCTTCAATGACAAAAGCTGCTCAAGCACAAATGATTGATCCAATTCAGTCAAATCGAATTGGAAAAGCGGGTGTTTTGAAGTGGAATTTAAATTCAAGGCGGAAGTCGGTATTCTATTTCCCAGAATTCGACCAATGGAAGCAAAGAAGCTATTCATTGAAGAAGCAATGGATTGGGATGTTATCTGCTGAACACCATCAGAGATAATACACTGAATACTCTCTGAAGATGAGTTCCGATTGCATGCTTCGTTCACTGCTTTCCACACCTTTTCTGAGTTACCATTTGCTTCCTCGATCATGTCACTGTAATATTTAGACTTGGCAGTACGTACTAAGCCATTAACCTTGTTCCTAAGCTTTGCATACATTGACCAAAGACGCGCCGAGTTCGATTTTCGGGCCATTCTATGCGCCCAGTCACGTTCTTTCATAGTATCACTTATTTGACTGTTCATCCATGGAGGAGGTGTTCCCTTGACACGCCTTCGTTTCACTGGTGCGTGTTGATCTCCGACCTCCGAAAACATTTTGTTCCACACAAACAACGCATCGTCGACGTTGTCCTCGTTTTCAACAGTATGCCAGGGAATATCCCTAAGATCATCATTAAATACAGTCGGATTGAAATTTTCAAAGGAGCGATACTGGAGTATTCACGGTTTAGCCTTTGCTGTAATACCAGCTTTAATTATGCAAAATACCAGAAAATGGTCGCTGAGCGGTACCGGAACCACACCAGATTTGACAATGCGGTGTTCATTATTAGCAAAGAGCAAGTCGATCATTGTCCGCGAGGTGTCAGTTATGCGCGTCGGTTCTTTTATTAACTGAGTGAGGTTGTAGGCCCACGAAAAGTTAAGAAGTTCTTGTTTATCTCTTTTTGCCAATCCAGAACCAGTCATCGTGTCTGCGTTAAAATCGCCTAGAATTACCACATCCGATTTTTCCATATCCACAAATGACATACTCTCGTGTGGCGAAGAAATAAAGGTCTGAAAGTCAGAATCCGGTGCTCTATAAGAGCAGCAGACGAGTGTTGGCTTGCATTTGTCTCTAATCAACTCGATCCATAGACATTCCTGACCGCCAGTATTAATATCATTCCGCAGGCGAAAAGCCAAACCTTCCCTCATATAGATAGCTACACCACCATATCCCTCTTTAATGCCAGTGCGATCCTGACGAACGCACACGAGTCCAGGAGGATTAACTTTTGTGTCGCAAATATTCCCATCCAACCATGGCTCGGATAGAGTTAGAATGTCCACTGTTTTACTGTCGATTCCCTCAAGGCACGAAGAGTCGGTCTTGTGTGCGAGACTTCGAATGTTTAAGTGAGCAATTTTCAGTCCACGAGTGTTCCTTCTGTCGTGTAGCGTCTGGTAGCCGGGGTTAGACTCAATATCACCGGCCAGCGTAATTAGAGCTAGGGCGAAACAGGCTCGATGAAAGAGCTTACAGAACATAACAGCTTTGAGAGAATTACTGAGCTCTTTATCTCCGGACGGATTCCTCTGTTGACGTAAATTACCCGCAATTTCAGTTCTGCAGCTCACTTTTGAGACGAAATACACATCACTGTTGTTCAGAAAAGTGCTCTTTTGCAAATATAAGGACTTGTAGTTTACAAAAGACACATAAATGCAGAGAAATATACAAATGTTCGCAGAGAGCCTGAGTCTGCATCCGACCGCCATGATGTCCTGCACACTCTTAAACGGCTGCGAAATGCTGTGGGAACAGAAAAAAACAGCGTTAAGAAAACGAGCTATTCCAAATAATGTATAGATTTGAACGCACTAGTTTTATCCTACTGAGGCTGAAAAATCTCAATCTTTTATCCAGTCCTTTTAATATTTATAACTATCCTGCATGCGTCATTTTCTGCCTACCCTCCTAGTGTACTTTTGCTACACAGGCTACCTGAGGAGGGTCTCTTGATTGCACAAACTTCAATTTGTGTCAGAATTCATTGAAACGTGTCAGTGTCGAAATTCGGGTTGTT